ACTTGTTTTCGTGCATTTAAAAAGGTAGCAGCGTACTGTAGATATGACCTCACGATCACAAATGCAGACAAACAAAGCAGAGAGACAGGAGGTATAGGAAAAATAAATTCCCGGTGAATGGAGAGCAAAAAAAATGGGTGGCTCAAATTCGAAAGCCGCGCCATTGATGCATGGTTTAAGCTACCGTGATATTGGTGGCCTCAACGTGAAGCGCAACTGCCAAACGTGGCTGAGCTCAGTCATTTGGGAAGTACCCTCTCCTGCGGTTTTTTTCTGTGTCGTTTATCATGTGCGTGTGTGGAAGAGCGCGATTGCATTCCACCTCGATCCAGTCGAGCAACGAGTGACAACACCCAGGCGTCGTCACCACCTCACACAAAGCTGTCCCTCCTGGCAGCTGCAGCCGCCCACGCTGCTGATAACAACATCGAGATGTCTTGTCATTCTCTCATCTTAACTATCCTCCCTTCGTTCTGACTTTTTCCCGATTTGGAGAGGGAGCACTTGTAGACTCTGGATGTCTGTTTCATCCATTCGTTTCGCGCTTGCCTGTGCGCGCATATACATGACAGTCCGATTCTCGACCAGTTGCAGCTATCCAAACCGACTAAAAGGTGGACTCGGCCATGCTTTCGATCGAAGCGCTGTGACCCATTCGCCGCTGTCATTTATGACGACAGCTCTCGCGGTACTGGTCATGTTGACTTGGGCTACCAACCTGTCTATCGAAGATTATGCACAGGATGCGGACCCTCTCTCATCTCCGATCTACTTGACTTTTTGACATCAGGCCCAGGTGATAGATTGAGGTAGATGCGTTAAACGTCTACTTTCACTATAATCCAGCGCAAGTCAATTCCAACCGAACTGGTGTCCAACTTTCTCCTAGGGAGCAGGCCTAGAAAAGGGCAGTGAATTAAACTGCTGCGGAAGTCTAAATGGCAAATACGGTGGCGCACGCTAGCCTCGCCACTGTAGAGCAAGACCCTCCAGCCACTACTTGGAGGTATTCGATGGCAGTATACTTTTCTCGTTGAGCGCAGGCTTTCCTTCTGCACCAGTATCCACCGGGACCAGCCAACCGTGCACTACTGGCATGGGAACTAGTCAATGACCGGATCGACATAAGTGTGAAGTTACCGCTATCGAACAGCAAGAAAAGGAGGACTTCTACTTGCAGTCGCAGGAGCTAGTTGAAGGACCTTGTCGTGATCTGTTGATTGTTGCCGGGGACCGGAATAGTCGGGTTGGGCCCGCTGAGCCATCAAACAGTCGTTTGGGCTTGGCACTTGATCCGACAATGGCCAAAGGATGTTGCATTTTGCTAATCCGAAAATAATATTTGTCACTAACGCATGCTATCAGTCTCGTAAATATCTACTTAACTGGTATTTAAACGACGACCGAACCGCCAGTCAGATCGTTTATATTCTAGTTGGTTCAAGGTTCCACAGTTGGGTCCACGACAGCAGGTCGATGCGTAGTGCCGAAACTGTTTGCTCACGGGCCTAACCATGTTATCGTTTGCATACGCCCGAATG